AAAAATGCCCTTTTTAATAGTGGATTTTTTATGACTAAAACGGCTATTGCCTGATTTACCTGAAAAATAAAAAACATGGATAAATGTATTTATCTGGATATGTAACTTGGCCTCAGTGAAAATAAATTTGGTAAAACTTGCATATATTAAATGTAAAGCCATTTTGGTTTGTTTAATTTAAAGTGAAGTTGAATAAGGGCACATTGAAATTTTAACAGAACTTTCAATATGATGGTGCCAGCTGAGATTCAAAAACCATCTCTTTATTTTAGCTAAACGAGTGATTAATTAGAGTCAGCTGAGATTTCAAAAACTCTCTCTTTATTTTAGCTACCGATATCATGCATGCATAAATTAAGCAGGATTAAGCATGCTGATTTGGCACTTGGGATTAATTCTACCCCCCCCCCCCCAAAAAAAAAAACAATATTTTAATTGTAATATTGTCACGTGATCAGTCCAATAATTCTTGAATATTTAATGTAAAGTACATATTTTTCATACCAAATAAGCAATTACGAAAATTTGGAAATCTTCCAGAACTAAAGAAATTACATAATTTCAGGATAAAAAATAATTAGAATCTTGTAGACCATAAGCATTTATATATATATACATATACACAACATCGATCTTGATATCACCTTCAAAATGTAAGTTGGGAATAAAGTTAAAAGGCAATTTCTATGGTGTATGGTACACGAAAAAATCTTTAACAAACCCACTAAAAAATCCCCTTCAAAAGATTCACTACAAGCTCGGAGAATCTTCTCTTCTTCTATAACTTTATAAAGATAGAAAGATATATTGGAATAAGATGCCTGAAATAATAATTGATAAGATAGAGTCGGCCAGGGATTCCTTCTTATCTGTATATGTATAGTATATGCTGGGAATACATAATAATATATAAAAAAACACAAAGCATTGAACCAAAAGAAAGAGAGATAGGTCGTATAAACTATAAAAAGCAGCTAGTTATAAGAAACGCGCAAGGCCCAAAGCAGCTGCGTACGTACACAGAGATAGCAAACAGCAATTAGCAAGCAAAGGCGATATCGAGGTAGGATATCGATCATCGGAATTCATCGATGGACGTCCAAAGCTTTAGCTATGAACGTGAGGTCCTTGACACTGGCAGGCAATCACAAGACGGCATCTGGTATGGCGGTACGACTACAACCGACTACTACTACAGCTATGGTGAAAGGGTGGCGCCGAGTTCCGGAGTGAAATATGAAATCCCTCGCTACCCCAACGTTCATCTCATATTCAACAAAAACAAGGCTACCCACCACGATCATCATGGAATAAGTGGCTCTGAGGAGCAGCAGGTCCTAGAACCAGCTAAAGCCAATGAGGGATCGAGAGTTCTGGTGAAAAAGCATGTGCACTTTGAACAAGTAGTTGATGAAGGCAATAAGTCAGCTGGCAACCACAATGTTTACAAGGAGAACATTGATTTTAAAGCTGATGACTTCATCCAGCAGAAGCACAAGAGCTTCTCCCAACTAAGCAAACTCTTGTCCATGAAGGCGCCTTGAGTAATTGAGTTCGTTGAGGCATGCAGACTGCTTCATGCATGCACCCCAGTAAGTATATGCTATGCTCTATATGCTACGTACGCCTATGGCCCTATGATGGCCTATGCAATGCTATGTATGTCCATGGCCAATATGGGTGACGAGATTACTGCAATAAACTTCCCCATTTACTAATGAGTCGACTACTGTGTATGTAATGCCAGCTCCAGCTGCTTAAATACATAAATATTTGAGTTGCTTTTTTCAGATGCTTTTTAGTGAACCATACAATCTCAATTAATGAATTCATCAAATTAAATTCTCTCAACGTAAAGGAATCAATGCCATTAATTGTCCAATGAACTATATATCTAAACCTGGAAAACACATGGAATTAATTAAATCATCGCCAGCTAGCTGCCTCAATTCCTTCTGCTGGTTTACTAAACATACAAGTCTTAATTGTAGCCCCGGCCCCTTTCTTGTGTTTGGATTGCAAGAGCGGATTAATTTGATTTTGAATACCACAATAATTCCGCCTTGATTCACTCCATAAAAGGAATGTAATTAATTTGCTACCCTTTTCAGCCTCCCTCCTTCACTCTGAAGTCTGATTCCAGGCATAGCCAATATAATTATTTATTTGTATTATTTGTTTAGGAAAAGAATTAAAAAAATGATTTACATCATATATATGATGTAGTAAAGGTGAAAAAGAAGAACATACCAGAGTTTAATTTCCAGTTTACTAAAATACATATGAACAGGAACTTCTGAAAATTTCAACAGATTATTAAGTGGGGAAATCCCATCTCGAAGGGAATCATCCAAGACTCATCCAAAAAAATAAAATTTTGCATACCTCCCTCAGAAGTCAGAGCAGTACGAATTTATTTCTGGAGCCCTAAATATGAAAACCTAGTATATAATAATTTGAATCTTGAACCTTGAGGGCTTCAAATTTCGGGCCTGAATTTGTCCATACCCGGCCGGGTGATACGTACTGAAGAAAATCTAAGCCTAAATGAATCCGGAACTCAAGATATATAATAAGCTGATTAGTGTGTTGCTTCCATGCAAAACCAGCTAGTGAGTGTTGTTTAATCAGGCTTTAAGTATATGCAAATCCACCCCCATGGCTACAGTTCTTGGTTATATATATGTACCAAATTAAACAGAACAAAATTTCAGAACAATGACCAAGTGGAAAGATGGCGTGGCGATATTTAGGGCTTATTTGTTTGTTTAAAGTCTGACATCTGAAAGTGCAATAATTATGTTAAGAGGTATATTGGTATTGGTGAAATTTTCTTTCTTTTAAATCAAATATCTATTTTGACTCCATATATGAGAGTTTTTGTTTGTCTTTTTGGGAATATCATTACAAAACAAAAGTTGTATGATTGCACTTTAAGCGATAAGAGGAAACAAACAACCATTTTTCTTTTGAAATTAAAAGATTCCTCTTAAAAGATAAGAATTAAGAGGAAACGAATAACCAATACCCAACATATATATATATATACATATATATATATATATATATATATATATATATATATGTGAAGGTTATTAACTAATAACCAAATTATCTATGGAAGTGGAACCTCTGAATCCAATAACCTGCAAATAAATCCTTCTTGGTGGTTGAGAGTTATTAAAATGGGATGTCGTATATGCATTTGATGATGAGGTGTTTTATATTAGAAAGGGCAGGACTTTGTTACTAGCAAGACAGGGTCTAATATAGGATATATAGTTCTCCAAGCACGGGGTGAACTAGGAAAGCATTGAGAAACCTGATTCGATGATGATATGAGATCTCTAGTTTATTATATTACCCGAGTTGTATTCTTTCGAACTGAGAAGAGAACAAAGAATTTTAATTTATAGGGGATCTTTCGTAGACCTATTAAAAATGCCAAACATAACTATATATGTTGCTCTGTTTTGCATTTTTTTTTTCATGTATTCTTGATTAATTTCTGGTATATCAGCAATTCAGCATTGCTAATTATATTCTGGATGAAAAAGGCTGAACTAATTGCCGAAACTTTGACGTTATTGAGTCCCGTAAACTTGAGCTTCAACAGCTTGAAAGTAATCAATTTGATCAACTTGCAACAATTCCAAGGGAATGTCATCTCAGCTGCTGAAAACCCAATTGTATATACTAATTAACCTGTGTGAGCTTATAATGGCTCACAACCCATGACTGGTCTCCTAGACCAGCCGTCCCGCATCGGTCCTAACAATTAATGGTGGAGTGCCGGCCATTTGGAAATCCCAAGTTTTTGCGGCTAACAAGGAAGGAATATAATCAATAAGTGAAGTGAATATATGAAAGCAAAATAAAGAATAAATATTCATATATAGCTTAATTTGTACATAATGATAATAACGATGATGGAGCATTATATTGAGCAACCAAACGTGTAAGTGTATTTGTATGTAATAGCTAATACAGGGTAGAGAATCAATATAAAGAATAAACTCGCTCTAGTATGCTAGCTAGCTATCGCCATCAGGAGAAGATCAATATCTTATCCTTTGGATGCATATGATGAATTATATGAACCCTTTAAAGATGCCCTGTGCCGCCTCATAATCTCTAGAGAACTATAACTTTAATTTTGAGCCAGTTTCAGACGATTGAAATTGACAAAAGGTGAGGGTATTAGATGCTCTCTTATCAACTTGCTGGAATAACAGCTAGATCTAGTAGACTCTGTCTCTCTCTATAAATTATGCACTTCGCCAGGAATTGCAGTATCCAAAGCCAACACAACAAGCCTCTTCTGAGTTCTGATCGGGAATTAGCTAGTAGCTGATCAATCCGCCCTAGGCATCAACAACAAAAATGATGAGGAGGTCTGGTTTTGGAAACGAACAGGTGGAGCAGCAATACGGTGCGCGCAGCAACACCACAGAAGACTATAATGCTCACGTCTCTAAGATGTTGAGGATGCCCAGTGTGATTGATGCCCCGCCCTACCCAAATGTTCAAGGCATCTTCAACAAGAAGCCCTCTCCTGCAGTCAATCAGCAGGAGACTCAACCTGCTGCTAAGGAAGAAGTGGGTCAGGGTTACGTCCAGCAAAGGCGATTTGAACTCTGCAAATGGATGACACTCAAGGCTCGCTGATACTACATATATACACTTGATGCATGCATAAAACCTCTGCTTTTACCCATAACCAACCAGGATCTACGCATGTAATAAGCTTATATATGGGTCTTCTGTGGGCTAAGTTCCCCGCTATCTCATCAATAATGTCATAGTGTGGCTTTATTATATATAAATCATCAGTAATGAATCAGAATGAATGTCTTATAGGGCCTCTAGGCTCTAGCTATATAGCTATATATAATAAACATGCATATATAGTACGTATATATATATATATGCTATAATTAATTAACCAGAATTATTATAAGACATATATCCATGCATGTTTATGCTATATATATGCTGTGTTCCCAAAGCCTCGACAGAAATTTATTATGACGATTAATTATTTGGCCATCTAGTTATACAAAAACGTACTGCAGTGAGACAAAGCATTTGATTTGTATCTCCATCTGTATCGTATCAAAATTGATGATCGTCTCGGGGGATATGCACATGATCAAATCTTCTTGAAGAGAATCTGTTAAACAAACTTCTCAAACTATTTTTGCTTTCTTTACGTTTCCTACTTCCCTGATGATTCGAATCTTCAGGTATACACATCGGGATCGGGTGATCCAACCCCAATACTAGACCTGCCTCTAGCCTCTTTGACAAGGTTACGATCTCGTAGGAATCCCATAAGGACTGCCCAAAATCCCAACTGCTGGGACCGGCCGGACCGACGACGACGGACCCCTGCTTGCGGCATTCCTTGTTCATGGCTGCTTCGAGCTTGAAACGACTGGGCTTGCTCTTGAAATTGTTTCTGTAAGCCTCAAATTCCTTGGTGGCTGTGGCAGTATTGCCGGAGTTGCGGCCATGCCAGGCCTGTGCAACCGCCTTGACTATTTCGAGTTCCTGCTCATGATCCTTCATTCTCAACTTCTTTCTTCATTGTCTCCCTCTACCCAAAAGCTAAATCTTGTTTTTCTTTAGCAGAATGAGAGCCTCACGTTACCCTGTGGAGTGATAATGTCCATGGCATCGTTATCTCTTTACCCACTCCAAAGATTTGGGACCCCAAGACAAATGTTGATAAAATGTCGCCTCTTATATATATACATTCTTTTGTCTCCATATTACGAAATCAAATGACGGACTTTATTTTATAGTCGTTTTCTTTTTTTCTTTTTTTTTTTTTCAAATCAACGTAAACCCAGATCGCAGAAAAGGCGACGTATCACATATTTGGATGTACAACTTCTACAATTATATATGCATTTTTCAATCTATTCATGGTGAGCACGCCTGGAAGAAACCAAGGGCTGTCGTCTATTGGTCCGGTCTCGTGCACTTAACACTTCCGATAAATTAATAAAAACCCAATCAGAATTCAGGAATATTGAAATCCTTTTTCGAGATGCAATTGTCTTCTATTACTCCCTTGTTGTGAATGGTGATAGCCTGGTAGCTAGGTGGTTCATATCATACGTCTTGCCATCTGATAGTAAAGGGTAAAGGCACAGCAACAACCGTTTTCACATAATACAGTGCCCGTTTGGGAGGTCTGAAGCGCAGGAGCTTCTGAAACAGCTTAGCTAAATGTTCAGCTCAATCCTCCCAAACGGGCACATACCTGTGCTGAGAGCATCTGCACCGGTTTGAGGAATGGATTATCCATACACGGGACATACCCCATTAACAACAGCTCTAATCCAAAGTAAAACCCAAACTTTGCAAGCTTAGGCCAAAATCGATCTCATCCAAAATTTAACACACCTTGGGGTGGATTTAGGCTCAGACCCCGGGGGGATTCATTGGATTTCTTTAGATTTTTGGCTGGGTTTTAGACTTCCAGTTTTAGTCCAGCTAGCTGTTCGATCTGCTTATGAGTTTTCCAGAGTGGATTGCTGATCGTTTACTAATTTGTACTGCATGTGGTTGTTTGTTTCTTCCTCTGGCTCCGTCTGGGAAGAATGCAATAATAGAAATGATAAGTACAAATGCAAAATATGGTTCATGGAAATGCGAAATTGGTTTAGTTTTGCAATAATGATTTTTGTACTCTTGTTAAATGATTTTTATCTGTAATAAGTATAAATACCAATCATGAGATTGAATTTGCTCTCGTTTTGAATGCAAACATGTCTTAAAATTGTGTTTAATATTGTTTTCAAGACATAAATGTATTATTACCAAATATAGCAAAACTGGACCACATTGCAAATATGCAACAAGCCATCATTTACAATAATATGCAAACATGTTTTCCCAAACATGTCTTTAAATGTCTATAATCATTCAAAATGTAAAAAACCCCCATTCTATACATCAATGCCCGCCCATGAATCGGCATCAATTCTGAGCTGGCATCCACCCCAATTGTACTTTGGGCCTAAAGATCCGTCGTTCTCTCTAATTTCTTCCAAGAAAAATGCATGCATGATTTAGAGGGTTTTAACTTTGATTTGGATTCAAATGCTATAACTAGGGGTGGAAATGAACCGAGTTTTTTATGAGCTATTCGAGCTTGACTCGGATCAAATCGAGCTTCGAGCCGAACTTGAATAAGATACGGCTCAGCTTGTTAAGCTCACGAGCCTAGTCAAGCCTATATGTATTGAGATTATATATATATATATGTGTGTGTGTGTGTGTGTGTGTGTGTGTAATACTTATTATACATATTATACTTCTGGAAAGAATATTACTGGTGGGGATACAAATGTATGGCGGCCCCATTCACATTTCTAAAGAAAGCAATTACCAAACCAAAGAGAGAGGGAAAAATCAATCGAACAAGCCAAGAAACCCTTTCAGTTTCAACCCTCCCTCTCCCTGCGAGGCTACAACTCTGTGAGATTGTGAGCTACATGTGAGCCTGCGACCCTGCCTCACCCTCAAGCTCTCTCACTCTCAAGCTCAATCGAGTTAACGCCCGACGCCGACGGAGCAGCAGTACTCACATCTCTCAGTCAAGTCTCATCTCCCAACCTCTCAGTCTCTCACAATCGACGCCTGACGGTATTGTTACCTCTTAATCTCAGCCTCTCACCTCTCACAGTCTCAGTCTCTCAAATTCTTCTTCTTCTTCTTCTTCTTGATTTTGTGTTTTTTTTTTGTCCTTTCTACAACTCTGAGAGTTCGAAGTTGGAATGATTGATTGGCTCCCATCGACAACTCTGTAACCAACCATCCAACATTCAAAGGCAACAATCAATCCCAAAACCACAAAGATCACCGCACCGTCCATGCTAACTTGCAGTCTGAACCGTGCGTCTTGCCGTCTTCTACAAATTCATTAAAGCTCGCTTGAGTTCGAGCTCGAATAGACTTGTATCATTGTCAAGCTTGAGCTGAATCGAGATCGAATGTATAGTTTTTTCATTCAAGTTGAACTCGAGCTTGTATTTCCAATTTGAATCGAGCTTGAGCCTTATAATATTATACCGAACTGAGCTCGAATACCCAAATATTCAACTGGGCTCGGCTTGAATTCACCCCTAGTTTCAATCCGATCGGTTCCAAGGTAAAACTTGAAACCCACCCACCTTGTAGGAGGCGGTCAAAGGGAAAGAAATTGGCTTTTTGCCTTGTAACCGAAATAGATTACATGCATGACATGTGTTGTTTTTTCCCACCAACCATGGAAATAAATTAGATTTTGTCTTGTAATCACAATAAGCTCTTATCTCTTTGTGTACATGGCATCCTATCACAGGAATATCTGTTGTACATGCATGTTAAATTCGTGGAATGATGTTACTACTTACTAATATATAGTTGGATGTCTCTACTTGTAAAATGTGTTGGAAGTTTCTCTGCTTTGCATGAAATCCTGTGAGAATCAAAATAGGCAACGGGATTTTCTACAAATAAAAACTCTAAACACACTAACATAAAAATTCTACTACATTGAGAGGTGAGAACATTTGTCCATGAATTTAAGTATGCAAGCAGAATTTTTATTTGCAAAAGATTAGGACTCTCAAAATAGAGCTTTTCTTAGGCAACTTTTATATCATATAAAAAAGTTATCCATGACCATGACCATTATATTATTGATTGTGAAAAACTCCAGTGCAATGTTGGATGTAGGCACTGCCGGGTTGATATATAGTGGCTAACCTAATGGATCCTTATGTGATGAACGTTATTGATTGGCCAGGCCATACGTTCCATTCATGTGGTATATGCAAGTGGGGTCGTGCATGAAATCCGTCCGGTTCTAATCTATGACCAGGCTATAGGATCCCTTATGCTTGGACCGTTGGACGGTTGGATTAACCCATTTTTGGTAAATTACAAAGACCCCCTCTGTATTATGGGGTCTGTGACAAAGACCCCCTCCTGTACTTTGTTTTGCAACAAATACCCCCTTATATTATGACCGTGTGACAAAGACCCCCTTCCGTTAACCTTCCATCCAAAAAGGTCGTTGCAATATTTTTAATCCCTATACTATCCTTGTAATAACTATTCGAACAATTGGGAGAAAAACATTGTTAATCTTCTCCTCTCTCTCTCTCTCCCCTGCTAACCTTCTACCCCGACTTCGTTTTTCTTCCTTTCTCTCTCTTCTTTGGAGTGTGGAAGTACGGTCAGATTAATGGTGTTCGCCGCTGGAACTCGCACTGATCAAGATCGAAAGTGTTATTTTGGGGGTTTTTTGTGAGCCGGTGGATTGTCTTTTTTTTTATGATATGGGTTTTATTGTTGAATTTCGTCCTAGATTAATTATTTTCTGTTTTTTTTCTTGACCTAGGTTTCGTAGACCGAGGGGTTTTGAACTTTTGATATTCTTTATCTAGGTCTCTTTTAAGTTTCTTGGATTTTTTGAAGGTGATTGAATTGCAATGTTTCTTGTTGTTATTGCTCTTGTAGATAATCAAAATGGGTGGATCAGATGAGAACAATCCTAGTGTCTTAAGACCAACAAATTTTCAAGGTAATTCCATCATATTTTATTACATTTCTGTTTTTATTTTTCTTTGTTACTATTTTTTTTTCTTTTCGAGAGTCTAAGAGAGAGCAAACAATTGAAATTTTTTCACTTTTTTGGCTTCCATTTTCTTTATTAAAGGTGGTCTTCGGATGGGGGGAGGGAAGTTTGTCCCATAGATCGGACACAACAGGAGGGATTTGAGCACTATCAGTTGAAATTTAGTTGGAGGTCCACCTTACCCTTGTGCAATCAACAAGAGAGGCCTAGTAGAGTAATTTCTTAAGCCCTAATCTCAAGTTCCATCTAGGCCTTTCTCCGAATCTAGTTACCATTAATTTGTCTTTTTCCTAGTTTGATCTTTCTAATTTGATCTTCTTTGTCTCCTAGAAAACATGCAACCTGTGATAAGAATCTAGTCATTTTTAGTTCATTGACCAATTAAATTACAAGGTCAGGAATTAATCATTTTTTTTATTCCAATTGGGTTAGAAAGAAAAGTAGCTTCTTCATCACATGTCATTGGCAAATTTCTTATAATTGGCTTTTGATTTTGTTCAGGAAATTTGCTGCACAGATGGCCAACAAGCAATAGCCTTGCCCCGAGGTACATTCTTAATACACCAGGAAAACAGAAAGTATGATTCATCATTGTTCTTTTTTTTTGCTTTGATTAATCATTTTTCTCTGCTTTTGTTTTTTAATTTTAAAGGAGGTTAAGAACCTAATCCCCTCGGTTGTGAATCCAAGTGTTTTGGAAGACTGTACCATCATAGATGTGGATGACTACAATGGGGGCAATGATTTCCTTGTTCCAATGTTTGTGAAGCACACAAAAGCAATGCTAGAAGAAATTGATCGGATGGTATTTACTGCAAACATTATCTCCTTTTGAAATGGGTTTTTGACCATGAAAGATTGAACTTTGACACTATATTATGTTGTAGGAGGAGGTTGAAATGGAAGATATAGAGACTGAGGAGGCCATGATGGATATCGACGATTGTGATAAGATGAACCCACTTGTAGTTGTAGGAGGAGGTTGAAATGGAAAATGGCAAGAATAGAGATCATTTCTTGCCTACATGAACACAATGAGGGTTAGCAGGGGACATGCCCGAATTAGCCGTTGCAACGAGTTGTGGCGGCTGTGGCCGATAGGAACGGAAAACAGAGGAAAGAAGGAAGAAGAAAGAGGAGGAGAGAAAGGGGAAGGGGAAGAAGAGAGATCGGGGGAGAGAGAGAGAGGAGAGAGAGGGGGAGAAAGAGAAATGTAAAGGAATTTGAGGTAGAGGGGATAAATGTCGCTACTATTCATGTATCATGAGGTCGGGGAGATGGACAGTATTTTTCTCCCAATTATCCGAATACTTATTATAAGAGTAATTTGAAAATTAAAAAATATTGCAACGGCTTTTTAAACGGATGATTAACGGAAGGGGGTCTTTGTTGCAAAACAAAGTACAGGGGGGCCTCCTCACCCGGGTGAAGGCGGGAATCGATCCCAAATCTCCGCTACAACCAGCCTGACTGAGCCAGTTCGCACCTTCGGACGGTTGGATTTGGACCAACCGACCAACTATTCGACTATTCGAGAATCGAGAATGACTACCCCCTTCTTCCTCCCGCTTATTTTTATTTTCAAAAAATGAAAAAGGATGTTCTCTGGTCCCATTTTAGGGTTTGAATTTATTCTAGTTCTCAGATCAACTCTAGCTCTACGGAGGAGCTGATCTCTCTCTCTCTCTCTCTCTCTCAAATTTCATGCTACAATCTCAAATTCACTGAAGAGCATGAGTTCTCCTATGGAGGTCACTCTGCAAGATGCCAATGAAACGGGGACCTGTAAATCGGATGTCGTTTCTGAGTCAGTTACTTCTTCACTGTTGGTCGACGACAAGGTCCTCGTTTCTGGTACTTCTCAGTTTCGCCATATTTTATTTTTTCTTTCATTAAGTTCTTATTTCAAATCCTTCTATTTGAGATTTTCGTGCTGTTGCAGTTGAAGTCTGTTTGAAGCCCTCAAGCACGGCTAGGATTGAAGATGTCCAGGCAGCAGTTGAGAGGTCTGTGTGTGTGTGTGTGTGAAATTTGTTTGTCAATTATTGATTCAAGATGCATGCTTGCAATTTTATTTATTTATTTAACGGATGACCTGGTGAATGATAGATAGAACCGCAAAAAGAGGCTGGAAATTGCTCTATTATGAGAATTCTGAAGAAGTTTTCATCCTTATATTTAGGACGTGTGTGTCCCATAAAAACATTCAAGGAAGATGAAAGACAAAGAAGTTGACTGAGAAAGTTGGAAACTTGAACAGAACATAGGAGTTTTAAGTCATCAAAGTTTCTGTGTAACTTTTTCCGTAATTAATGTAGTTTTAGTTCAGGTAAAAACATTCCAACTTTAACGCTGCAGTTCTTCACCAGAAACTATTGTTCTATTGGGCAATCTGGAAAGTATCAAGAGGTTACTGGAAATCTTTGCAAGCACAGTATTCTTTGATGGGGATGTAGCTTCAATTTTCTCAATCTATTAGGCTTTCTTCTGTCTAATTCTGTATATCTAAAGGCTGTCAAAATCTTTGCAATTTCTTATTAGCTACTTGGCCATTTTTTTGAGCAATTATGCACTGTAAATGCTTCTATGGTTAAATGCTTGTTTCTTGAGCTTCTATCAAGTATCAGTATCTCTATTACTTCCATGTACAGTCCTTTAAAAGTTCATCATTGCATTGATGATCAGAATGCTTGAAAAAAGGAGTTTAAGCTATACAGATGGTCCTGTTCCTGTGCCCGATGGCGATCCATTTATCCAAGAAAATGTGCAGAGGATCTGTATTTGTGACACAGGTTTTCATTCATTTACCGGAGTTCTTAATTTTCTTTTCTATTCTTTTAGTTTGTGATATCTAAATTTGTTGGATGTGTAGATGAATCGGTGCAGAACCATGGCATTTTATTGTTCTGGCAAGTGAAACCTGTCGTGCATGTTTTTCAGGTAATTGATTTACTATATGGTGTGATATTACCATTTTTATTTTGCTTTCCCTTTTTCAATTACCACGATGCTTCTGCATTTTGGACAAGCTCTTTGTCTTTGTATTACTATTTCTGTACATTGGAGAATCTTTTAAGAGATCAGAATAGACTCCAGTTTATACTTTTTATAAGGAAAATTGCTAATATGGTGATGGCCACTTTTGAAAATGCATTGCCAAGCAAGGGAGGCAGACCAAACTGCTTGTCAGTTTTCCCGAGTGAAAAATTTCTACCTCTAAGTCCTCCAAATAACTCGTCTTGTTAAAATATCTTTTTGACTTTATGATGACCATGACTAAGGGGGTGTTTGCTAACCTGGTTACCATGTTGTCAAACACCTCCTAACCTACCTTCCAAAGTTCTAGTTGTATATTATCCATTCTACAATTAAATAAAGCACATGATGGTTTCATCCCTTTATATCCCTCTATTTGTGAAATAGAGAGAAATGTTTTAGTTGAATATGGAGGATGAAGGGGTGCAATTAGTGGTTTGAGGTGTTTGGAAGGCTAAAATAGTTCCTATTGATTTGTTTTTCAATCATAACGAATCAAACAATTAAAAAAAATCATGTGATAAAACAAGAGTTTTTTTTTCATAGAATCAACATGCATTATTGTCTTAAAGTGCAACATCTGCTTCAACTCCATTGGTAAGTGCAGTTAATTCTATTGAGAAAGAAACACTAGCACAAGCAACTGCACGCAACAACATGGAAAGAGAAAGGATTTTTTAATCATTGTTAGGCTAATTGGGACAAATATAAAACCATAAGAAAGGAAGTTAAAAAGAAAGTGAATGAAGCTAAATGTAGGGATTATAATGAGCTTTATCATAAAGTAGGCACTAAAGATGGAGAAAAAGGAATGTATAAACTAGTAAAGTTGCATTGAGGGAAAGGAAAGGTAGAGATTTAAACCATGTTAGGCTGATTAAAGATGAAGATCAAAGAGTCTTGGTAAAAGGTGAGGAAATCAAAGATGGAAAAACCATTTTGAAAAATTATTAAATAAACAACAAGGAAAATGTGTTAATGGAGGAGAAGCTAGCAATATTAGTAGTGTTAAAAATAATATGTACCTTCATAGAGTTAGATGTACTAAAGTAAAAGTGGCACTAAATAAGGTGAAAAAGGGAAAGGCATTAGGACCTGATGGGATTCCAATAGAAGTGTGGAATGGTTTTGGAGAGGTAGGCTTGTTATAACTAACTAAGCTATTTAATAAGATAATAAAAGAAAAAAAGATGCCTAATGATAAAAAAATAACAATATGGTTCCTATATTTAAAAACAAAGGTGATATGCAAAGTTGTAATAAATATTAGGGGATTAAACTCATGAGCCACACTATGAAGCTTTGGGAGAGAATAATTGAACAAAGATTTGGTTTTATGAAGCCACACTAGAGAACCAATTTGGTTTTATGCCATGGAGATCGACCATAGAAGCTATATTTGTTTTGGAACAATTGATAGAAAAGTTTAGAGAGAAGAAAAAAGATCTTCATATTGGTGTTAATTGATCTAGAAAAGGCTTTTGATAGAGCTCTTAGAGAGATAATATGGTGGGTCTTGGATAAGAAAGGTGTTCAAAATAAGTAAATAGACTTAATTAAGGATATGTGTGAGGGGGCAACAACCAATGCTAGAACACTAGTGGGAGAGACTTTAGATTTTACAGTTACGATCAATGTTTTAAAAGGTGTGGGAGGCATATGCTTGGAGGTGCGCCTCCAGGCGAGGCACTCCCAAAACACCTTGAGGCGTATGCCAGAGGCGTTGACACCTCTGAGGCGTACGACTCTTGTGCTTTTTTCATGAGGCGTGCTAGAGGTGTACGCCTCATGTGCCTCATGCACATCTTATATAAAAAAGATAGAAGAAAAGAAAAAAGAAAAAAAAAGGAAAGGAAAAGAAAGGGAAGGGAAAGAAAAAGAAAGAGAAGAAAATAAAAGAGAAAATAAAAGAAAAGAAAATGAAAGGGAAGGGAAGGGAAGAAAAGATAAGGGGAAAGAAAATTGTCCGCTTCGACAAGACCCCCCCCCCCCTTACAACTAATGTTATGCATCTTTATTCTTCCTAATATAAAAGATTTTTATTAAAAATAAAGAAAAAATGAGATCCCCCCTTCCTCTTCATCCTCATCCTAACCCCCCTCCTCTTAAGGAGGCTTACGCCTCACGCCTCTAGGTAGTGGAATGCCTCGCGTCACGCCTCTGTGTTTTAAAACATTGGTTACGATGGGTCTTCACCAAGGTTTAGCAATTATCCCTATCTATTTTCATTGATTATAGATGAATTGACTAAACATATTCAGGAAGTTCTATGGTGCATGTTGTTTGCAAATGATATTGTTTTAATTGATGGAACTAATGAAGGATTAAATGCAAAGTTAAGCTTATAGACAAATGCCCTAGAAACAAGATGTTTTAAAATAAGTAGTACTAAAACAGAGCAAGGTTCAAAATATCAATACGTATTGTGTCGGGATCTTCCCGATGTGCCCCTACAGAGGGTGTATCGGGGTTTTGACCGGTTTAGGGGGTGGATGGACCTTAAACCGCCTCTCTGAACCGGATTTGAAAAAAAAAACTAAAAAAAAAACAACCGATACTGCCCAATACACCTCTATCGGCGTATCGGACGTATCGATATTTTGAACCTTGAAACATAGTATATGACATGTAAATTTAGTAAAAATAGGAGTGTAAATCGATATACACTTAGGATTGGAGATCAAGAGATAACTTAATGTGACCATTTCCATACCTTGGTTCACTAATTCATAATGGGGAAAAGATTGAGGAGGATATGACCAAAGATTTAGAGTAGGTTGGGCAAAATGGAGGGGCGCTTCTGGACTTTTTGTGATAGGAGAATACCACTTAGATAGAAAGGAAAATTCTATAAAACAATTCTATGTTATATGGAGCCAAGTGTTGGGTAGTCGAGAAACAACATGTTTAGAAAATGAGTGTGGTAGAAATGTGAATTCTAAGATGGATGAGTGGAAAACTATAAAGGATAAGGTTAGGAATGAAGCCATCTGTAAAAACCTAGGAGTAGTCCCAATAGGTGATGAAATCAGAGAGAGTAGACTAAGATGGTTTGGTCATGTGCATAGAAGGCCACCAGCAGCTCTAGTTTGAAGAAATGATTTATTACAAGTGGAAGGGCCTATAAGAGATAGGGGTAGACCAAAAAGGACAGGGGTGGAAGTAGTGAAAAATTATTTAAGCACTATGGATTTAACAGTGTATAGAACAGATTGGCGATACAGGGTTCATGTAGTTAGGTTAATAGGGCATCTATTGGACATTAGATTTTAATTGAGGAAAACTAGCACATAAAACACTATGTTCCCTTTATTGTAATGATCTTTTCAAAAGTGATCATTTTCTGTGTTTTGTATTGATCAGTTCCACATTTTCTAAGTTGCTGGAATTATTTATATCCCTTTAATTGAACCATTTATTTTATTTGGATTGTTTTTCTATGTTTTATTACATTCAAGTGATTTAATAGCATTTCTTTGAGTTGGTAGCTCAGCGAGGAGGGGCCAGGTGAGGAAATAAGTGGTGATGGTCAACTTTCTAGCTTTAATGAATGGATCCTTCCTGCAAAGGAATTTGATGGAATGTGGGAAAGGTTTGTTGATTTACTTACAATTTTCAAATTGTTTGAAGTGGCTATTTCCATTAACCATATTCACTTCTGCAGCTTAATTTATGAAGCTGGTCTCAAGCAGAGGTTGCTGCGATATGCTGCAAGTGCTTTGCTTTTCACTGAGAAAGGTGTTGATCCTTTTCTAGTCTCATGGAACCGGTAAAGAAATTTCTGCGAAGTTCATGCATTCTACATTCTAACTAAGCTACACTTCTGATTCTGATGTTACATTGTTGAAAAAAGAAAAGTCTTGAATGCGATTACTGATGTATTAGCATGTATTTATATTACTTCTGCTTGTAGTAAGGAGGTTGTTAATTGTCATTTTGCTTATTATGGCCAACAAACTAGAGGAATTTACTTGATCTTATCACTAATTACCAATTGAATAAATTGATTGTTACCCTTTAAGTCTATTTGTATGCCAAACTTCATACAAGTAATGTATATGATGTGATGCAATGCATTGTTCCATGAATATTTGCTTAGCACTTCTCAAATTGGTAGACAAGATTCAATCAGCAAAAAAATTACAATCTACTAAGCTTGTTACTATGTCCTTCGATACTGTCATCTTGGCAATGTGCTTAAGTATCGTTACTGATTTCTGATTTGAATCTAAATGCATGGAAACATGAGGTATGGGGAGTGCCAACCTTGGAGAAAAGAAAATCATAGAAGCCCCTCCAAAATGTGTCCATGAGAGGATTTTCTTTTGTAACCTACGATTCGCCTTCTAGATTTAATAATCTAGATACTGCCATAAAAGTTGCATTATTATCTCTCATGTATATAATAATAGTTACTGTACCATTTCTGACTTTTGACATTTGGGAGAGTTGAGAAGCATGAGTTCTACCAAATTGAAAATTCTCAATACATTATTGTCATAATAATTAAGGCATAGATTTTAGCTTATATTAGTCTCACTACATCATTAGTAATCACTAATCGGTATTACATAACTATTGGCACCAAATTAATTCTGTGGTGACCTTCTTCCTTAACAATTTTTTTTTGTAGTATCATCCTTCTCCATGGTCCCCCAGGGACTGGGAAGACATCTTTATGTAAAGCATTGGCTCAAAAGCTTTCCATATGTTTTAGTTCCAGGTTTGTCAAAATTAATTTAAATGGATTTCACACCTCATTAGGTATACTTTAATGCAGTAGGACATTGTTATTTGATTTTTATCTTTTTTCTTAATTTTTGTATGCTGATCCTGAGCTCAGATATCCACAATGCCAGCTGGTTGAAGTTAATGCACATTCTTTGTTCAGTAAATGGTTTTCTGAAAGTGGCAAACTGGTAAGTGGTCTAACAAATTAAATTTGCCTATATTATGTTATTGTATCTAACATAGGATATCTCCTAGGTTTTAATATGTTAATTTTAGTGTATTGTTCATTGTGTATTTATTTTAGTTTATCAATGTTATGGGAGTAGAATTTAGTTTGGTTTTGGAATTTGCTATTCCCTCATTGACTTAGCTTGCAAATTGTCAGGCCTGCATGAGATGTCTGTGCTCCAGTTAGCATGGACTGTATTTGATTTCATGTTCATAGGAATTTGTCTTGTTATTATTTCTACTATCACTACATAACCTTGAGCTATTAAAAAATAGTGTGCATCTGTTAGAGCTAGCCGAATAAGGGTAGATTAGTCATTTTATTTCTGTTAAGTTATGTGCTTATGTGGCAGTTTTAATAGAGGCTTCCTGTCCCATACTTAAGTGGGGGCAGTTTAGTCTTTGTACTACTAATTAGAGGCTAATCCATATTAAGGGTCGACTGGTAGGGTTTAGTCTATCAAGTTTGACTGTTCTCTTCATCATCTTCTTCTTCTTCTTCTTCTTCTTCTTCTTCTTCTCTTCTCCTGGTTCGAACTACTGTAGCTACAGAACAAACATGGTATCAGAGCAGGACGTTGCTCTCTAAATCTCCTCACAGATTCGTGACTTCATTTTTTTTCTTCTTTTTGGGCTGAAAAAAAATGGAGAACACAGATTCGACCTAGGTCTGAGAACACTTCAGTCCTTTCTCTGCGCAGAACTTGACTGTTTTTCAAGGAAAAAAAAACAACTTCAGAAGTGGATGGTCGACTGAAGCTCTCCATCGAAGGTTGGTTACCTCTTTTTTTTTGTGTGCTGTTGGTATTTCTGGGTTGAAAGCCTTCAAAATCTGCGGGGATTGATGAGAACCTAGAGAACTAGGTTGTTTGTAGCCTTGGTTCTTGGAAAAAGGTCCAAGAACAGGCTGTGTTTACAGTGGCCGAATGGTGTAAGGGTATGTTTAACCCTTTTATGTTGGTCTGTAGTTGTTTTGAAGCTTTTGTTGGTCACAAGTGACCTGAATTGAATGATAGGTTACTGCAGTGGCAGTAGTTGATGTTTTCTTTGGACTTGTAGTGCCCTCTGAAAAGGTCAGACAGATATGTACCATGTGTGACAGCTATGGTTGTGTGGTGGTGCTTGTGATGCTCAATCTCTATTGAGCAGCTTCAAGAGGGCTTGTATRMRRTYAGTGAGTTGCTGAATTAATGTCAGTGTGATTCATGATTTTGTGAAATCAGTAGTGGTGTGAATAAGAACAAAAGTTTGTTCTTCCAATGAAGAAAGTTCAGTCATTATGCAGGAATTGTTTTATGTGAAGGGAAAGCAATTATTTTAGATGAGAGTGACTATGCATAAAAATTAAGGTGTCCCTAATTGTGAAATGCACATTAATACTTTCAACATGACTTGCTAGACAGAAAAAAAAGTACCCAAGATACCTATGTCACACTTCAATGGAATTAACAGGAATTGAATTGTTTCTGTAGTGTAAAAATAACATACAAGTAGTAAAGATGTACTTCTGGTCAGTATTGTCAAAGAGTTAACTAGTCAACCAACTAGTCAGTTGAGGGCCAAACCAACTGCATCACTAACTAATTGGCCATGATGCTGTCATCTAGATGGTTAAGAATCGATTAGGTCAACTAGTCTACTAATATCTAGTCAACCAAGTCAACCACAAAACCATTTTAAAGCTTTATTTGTTCACTTGCAAAATAAGACTGTAAACTAAATGTTCAATATCATTCTTTTCTTGCATAATTGTGGTTTTTATTAACTTATTTATTAGGTTTCATCAGTATCTTAAATTTAGAACATATCTTTTTTCTATTGACCAGTCTCCACCTGGGCACCAACTGGTCATTGCATTGACTGGAAAGGCCAAAATGACGAGTCATCACTTACCACATTGATACCACTGCTTTTGGCATGCTATGATGACTTGATGCTCCTCATTTATCAAACCTCAGTAGAAAGTAAAAAATAATGTGGTGGAAATTTTCCATGTAAATCTTAAGTTCAATGAGCAGCTCCTTTGTAAATTCAAACATGATAATCTTTTTTCTCATCTAGAATTTGCAAATTGCAATATTGACATTATCATTGATACATTTAACATACATTTCACAGTCAACTAAATAGAATACCTGTAACTAGATGGAATATGGCATTACCATTTACAATCGTACTTTAAGTTTTGTATCTCTATAACAGGTATACAAAGAACTTTTTTACTGTTTTCAAAATTTATCCTATTGTGTACTGCATTGAGAACCAAACAATCAAAGTTCCTTGGGGGTTGGGGATGGAAAGAACCGTTGTTGAATCAGCCTTTACACAACTATTTTTTGTCAATCTGTTCAAACCCGGCCCCAAGTTTCTGATTTCCTCTTGTCAATATTACCCTTAATTTTTTCATAGATTTGTCCCATCTCTGCATTAATGCAGGTCTTTCCTTGCATGGTAACTAAATTGTATTGTTAAATGTTAAACAAAATCTAAATTGTACTATTCAGTGTTAGCTATAATTATCTCGTTTTTTTTTCATGTTAGGTTGCAAAACTTTTTCAGAAAATTCAAGAAATGGTAGAAGAAGAAAACAACCTGGTATTTGTTTTGATTGGTAAGCTTGTTATTACATAATTTATCATTATACCATCTTTCCTGTCTAGTTTTTGCTAATCGGAGTTTTTTCTTCATTAAGCTTGTTAAACAGAATAATGCAACTAGAGATTTGAAATCACAGATGTTATACTTTGAGATGTTATTGGAGCATGTCCCCTAGAAATGGGCAAATGTGAAAACAGATATCATGCTTATGTGAATGACAGGATCATAGGACCACCATCAGAGAGGTTGAATGGGCCTCTGCTGGCATTATTTCATACAAAACCATATTTAATCTTATCATTACCTTTATTGTATTTATTTTCTTGTCTGCTATTTTCCTACGAGTTTTAATGGTTAATTTGCTTCTTTATTTACCTGAACAATTTTATATTTTTCTCATATCAAAATGTTTTTCTGCAGATGAAGTTGAAAGCCTTGCTGCTGCTAGGAAGGCTGCTTTATCAGGATCTGAACCTTCAGACTCTATTAGGGTACCGTATCTTCACATTTAAACCAAGTTTGAACATTATTTAGTGCACATAACCTGACAGCTTAGGATGCAACATTTTTGGATAAACAGTATTCTGAGGTATTTTCAGGTAGTCAATGCGCTACTTACTCAGATGGACAAGTTAAAATCCTCACCAAATGTGATCATCCTAACAACATCAAATATAACAGCTGCAATTGGTATGACAGTGATGACTCAAATTTGCAATTTGTATTTATTGCTGCACAGATGCTGACTAAAAAATGTCTTCTTATGGATATTAATCTATCCATCAGTACCTTAGTTCATTCTGTACTTGTCATATCGACACCTAAGCAATGACTAGGTAATGTGTTGTTTTCTTGTGATTGTCTTATGCCTCATCTTACTGTTTTTGTATTGGGGGTGTACAATTTTAGGTGAAGTGCAACTAAAGTATTTTGCGTGTAATGAAATGTATTCATTGTGTTAGAGTTTTCACTTGTAACCTCATGACTCATTTGTCATAACAAGTCTCTTCTTCTTTATCAATTTCTGTAAACAAAATAAAGCATTATATCTTTCGATGTCAAATCAGGGGCTCTACCCCTTCATTTATTTTTGTTTTTGTTTTTTCCCTTTATTGTATTTCTATGTGATTAATACACACAAAAATATCCTCACCTATTTCTTTGCCAAATTAAATGCTATGCTACTGCATTGGCGTTGAATGCTGATAATCTACATTTGTAGTAAGTTCAAATTAAATGTCTAACTATTGTTTAGATTGCAGACATTGCTTTTGTTGATCGAGCAGATATCAAGGCATATGTGGGCCCTCCTACTCTTCAAGCACGTTATGAAATATTAAGGTCATGCCTGCAAGAATTAATGCGTACTGGTATCTTATCATGTTCTAAGGTAGATATTACTCCAGATTTTTTTTTTTTTTTTTTTTTTTTAGTTCGGAAGGCCTCCATCCTGGTTCGCATAATAAAATATGAATATTTGCGTTTTTTAGGAACATCTCATTCTCCCTAACTATGTAAGCTTAAGGGATAAGCTGAACATGCCTGAGCAACTGGAACCTTTGGTCCCTCTTGATCTGGCTAAACAATTGCTTGCAGTGGCCGAATTATGCGAGGTAAGACATCGTGATCCTTTATGGTTCAGAAATCATGTGCCTACATGCAATTATGCTATCAAACATGTTTTGTTCTTAGGTGACAATAAGGCCTCCTTGATCTAAAACTATTACCTTGTAGGATGGGGTTAATGGTAACCCCTGTTAATAGGGATTTGGGACAGAGGATGCCCGTACAATGATTTTTGTCCATAACCCCACAATCCCAAGTGTGGAGTGCCCGTGCCATGGAATGGTTGTTTTCTTCGATGGACAGCCTGTATCCTGTTCCCAAGGAGGGCAGAAACCATCAAGACCAAACAGACATCAGAGTCCATATAAGACCCCGATACCACAAGTGCATCCATTTCATCACATTCCAATACAAGGCTTTAAAAAAGTGCATACATTTTTTGAAGTCTTTTAAAATTAGATCCTGATTACTGTGGATTTGGATTGCTGTTCAGGGATTGAGTGGAAGAGCTTTGAGAAAGCTCCCTTTCTTAGCTCATGCAGCTCTCGCAAACCCATATCATTGTGACCCTAGCAAGTATTTGTGCACATTGACAGAGACTGCCAAGAGAGAGCTGTCGGAGATACCTAGTTGAGCTTTACTGATGCTAAAATGTAACACAGCTGCTCGTTTGTTGTACTTCTGAGAAAAGGTAAAATATATTGGAATTTTAGTGGAAAGAGTGTAAACCAGCATAACCTGTACAGGAAACCTCTTCCAACTCCAACCATTGCAAGAGATGGTTCCAATTGTGACTAATTGGAAAAGTTTTAATTTCGTGAGAATTTTAAATTGGAAGCATTGGTTTGGGTTTATACCTTGCAAAGTAAATCCGCAATCCCAAAAGCAACAATCACCTAATGGGGATATGGAATTCTCAATACCACCCGTCTTTAAATTTTCAGTTCGCACGTTTATTGAAAACATCCTCAAATGTACAATATATGGGTGTCAGGCATTCTATCTTGTTATTCATTGAGCTTGGGCTATGCATGGACAGGGGCTGGGCTGGGCTGGTCTTGGCCCTCATTAAGGGTATAAATTTATCAATCAAGCAATTAATTCTCTAATATTTCTGTCACTTTCACCGTTGTGAGCTCCTAATATCCAAAGCTGAAGTTGGATTGACCAATTTGCTCGCATTTATTTTTCAGTATTATTGGGTGTCACAGTAAATGAAGATACCCAGGAAACTGATAACCTCCCTCCACTTGGATAATTTACCCATCAGCAACCAATATTCACCAAGTTACAATCGATTAAAAACAATCGCTGTAGACACACTTGCCTTTGTAAATGTGTGGCCTAAAAGAATGCGAAAAAATGTGTGATTACCTGTGCAAGTTTTTACATGGAAAGCCCCAGATAAGCGATCTTATCTGGGTAACTATGGGATGATGCATTTATACCAAAGAGCGAACTAATGGTCCGTTTGGTTTCTGAGAAACAGTGGGATGAGATGAGAAAGGAATAATTTATTTTACCATTTTTTGGTCCATGTGTTTGTTTGCTGAGATCTACTATCCTACAGAATATGCTTCTAGTGTTTGGTTGATGAGATGAAGGGATGAAGAAATACTGCAGAATTGGAACAAATCCATGGGGTTAGGAACATATTTGGAATAAATCCATGGCAAAACTCCAGATTTGGAGCAAACATATGTCTCTGGCTAGATCTAGAGTGGCAAAGTTAAACCAGAGATCTGAAGACGAAGGCAATAACGTGTCCTTACCTTTGTTGGAGAAACACACGTCACTGAGAAATGAAACCACTAGAAACGTTACCTTCGCTGGAGAAGACGAAGACAATTGCCTGTCCTTGTTGTTTGAGATCTGAAGACAATAACTGTCGGAAACGAAGACATAACCTGTTCTTCCTGTCCTTGTTATCTTTGCCGGAGAAAACGAAGACAATAACTGCCGGAAACATTGCCTTTGCCGGAGAAGATGAAGACAATAACCTGTCCTTGCTGTCTTTGCCGGAGAAGACGAAGACAATAACCATCCGAAACGTTACCTTCGTCGGAGATGAAGGATATAGGTGGTCAGAGTTCAGACCGTGCAGAGGTGGGAGATGAAAACAGTCCACCCCTCGATAAAATTTCTGTACCACCGTCACACGACTTCTGTTTCTCAGTAGAGTCACACTTATTTAGTGAGACCCTACATCCCATATTTTGAGAATGATATTCTCATCCCATCCCATGGCAGCATTTCTCCCGAAACAAACATGTCATACAGGTTGCACGAGCCAAACAGACTGTAAGTGAATTTGATATCTGCTTTATAGGCTGTGTAATCGATCTTTTTGCTCCACATTAGCCATAAAGCGCGCATATAGCCGATAGTCACTCAGTATCTCACTTGCATCTATGGTCGGTGTGGGGCAAATTAATTGGTACCATAGCCAGTAAAACAGCTATTAAATTCAAATAATCCATTCTCTTTATAACATTACTTCGTTTTTTTATTTCTGTTTACTATTTATTTTAAATTCACTACTGACCTCTCTCGTTGACTCCTATTTCATGCCTTGTTCATATTCATTATAAATCTAGATTTTTTCAGTTTCCATATAGCAGCATATATATGGGTATCTTAAAATTACCTTTCCAATGTTCTCTAGTTTCCCAAATTTGGAGACTCATGGTCTGAAAAAAAAAAAAAAAATCTGAGTATAATCATAAACTCTTGATTATATTTCTATTTTAATACGAAAATTTTTATTATATTATCGCTAAAAGGCAGAGAAATAAGTCAGCCCAATTTGAACCCAAGTTCCCGCTCGGAGTGGTTGTAGCACCTGTCTGCATTGATTCAACTTTTGACTGTTAACGTCGCCAACATCGTCAGAACTCAGAAGGTCCCTCCCCGGCGGCCCTCCGGAGTCGGAGTGGTGGGGATTCACACGTGACTTGGATGATATGTCATCAACCCAGAAGAAACAATATCCAAGGGTTGGTTTGGATGCCAAAGAGAGCAAAGACGATGGAGTCATCTAGAGCCCAAAGGTGTTGCTGAATTTTTTTACTTTGATTCCCTAGATGTAAACACCCCATCAGCCACGTCATCAATAATTCCAAAGCCAGTCGGGGTCCACGTGAGTTGTCTTCTAAGCAAAGCAAAGCAAGCTTCGTGAGTTTTCTTTGGGAGTGGTGGTGGCCTCACTCCACGCTCACTGGCACTGGTGGAGTGGTGGGGTGGGGTGGTCGGCCCGGCCATCCCATTACAAATGATCTCAAACCCCATTAAACGAGAGTTCACATCTCCGCCCCATAGTAAATTCCTGTCGTGTATTGAAAACATCTTCGGATGATAATATCAGTTTTGATGATGTTATTATTGGGAGATGTTTCCAATACACGGCAGGGATGTGTAATCTCACTAAATAAGCGTGAGGGGGTCCTTTTGAAAAATGTGTAGGCCTGACCAAAATGGGATCTGCTCCTCACACATGGACGCCTCACGGGCACATCCACCGTATATTGTAAACATGAGAATATTCCCAATGCAATAAGATGCATGTGAAGTGCCGTGTGTGAGGAGCAGATCTGATGTCGGCCCGACCTTCAATAGTAAAAGTCTGCAACGGAGCAACGGTATCTGACTTATGACAGTCTGACTATTTCATTTTGTAAAAATTAACATAGTGAAAGATGAACCGACGTGTTAGTACGAGTTTCACAACTCACAAGATGGTTCCTCATCCTCGCTTAACATTCTGACAACAAAGACCTTCCACTTCCACCGTTTGATCAACTCATCATGTGGTCCCTACTTTAAAATAACAGACAAACTGAGCCAAGGGCCCATTGGTTGCCCAACACCCATTGATTTGAATGAGACAGTGACATCGACTGTCGACCCACGGCTTTTTGTTGACTATCAACCAAAGGTGAAATGTATCAGTGGCCCACGTTTTTTGCTGCACGGTGCAGCAACGATTTAATTACATATATTTGCGGTTTACGGATGCCCTGTCCCCTTCTACTCCTGATTTAATTACATATATTTTCCAACGATTTTAGTCTGTTATTTCTTGCATAAGTTATTTATTCGGGTAAATGAAGTTATTTCAGTAAGTTTTTTTTTGGAAAATATTTGACTGGATAAGTACATTTACCTATATTCTTTTGTAAATAAGACAATGACCATTTTAGTCATTAAAATTTATTATTAAAAAAGTCATTTTTGTCTTATTCAAGTGTTTGTCATATTCTTTTGTAAATAAGACAATGACTGTGTAATGATACCAAAAAAAATAAACTTTCATTGGTCCCCACATGAATATGAAAAAAGAACATGGGATTCTTGGTCAATAGGAACCAAAATTCCATTAACCAACTTTTCCCCCTCTTAAAATCCAAAGAACGAACGCCCCCTTTAAGACTATGGCATCTAGTCGCATATGAGGAAAATGTCTATAAAATTCATGAGAAGATGTTCACAATGTGCAAAATTTTTGCTTTGAGGAGATCCCATCTCTTTCTAATAAAAATGTGTACAAGCTTGTTAGTCAAGTCTAGAGAAACACTTCAATTAAATTGCTTATCAATCTTCCATAGAACAATAAAATGAGAATTTACATGAGGTCCCTATAGTGTGCACATCACATGCACCCCACATCACATACCAACCATTAGAGGTGGCCGCAAGGCAAGCTTCTCACAAGCTATTCGAGCTTGGCTCATGAAAAGCTTGGCTCGACTTGGTTTAAGCCAAATTCGAGCCCAGTGAAGCTCATCTTGTGAAACTCACGAGCTTAATTGAGCCTATTATGATAAATAAATATTTTTTTATTACATACATACATATATATATATATATATATATATATATATAATAATTTTTATTATATAATAATATTTTTATTTTTATATATAATAATAAATAATTCTTATAATTCTTAATTTTTTGTATGTAGTATAATTTTTATTTTTTAGAAAAGAACTTGGCTTACAGTCGATCTTGAGTTGAGCTGAGCTGAGCTTAAACTTGCGATCTTTGAACCGAGTTGAACTTGAGCTCAAGCCTACTACTGTTTTAGCGAGCCAAACTCGAATAGCCAAATATTCGACCCAGCTCGAATCCACTCCTACCAACCATGCATTGAGAACATGGGATGTGCATAGGTAGCAATCCCAATCATGCGACTTCAAACACACTTTGTTACCTATAGACCCATTATGCATGGGGCACTTTTGATCGACCAACCACAATGGGTTATCGGGAACTCAGATTTGCTCCCCACATATATAAGGGTGCAAATTGGGCGGGCTCAATTTTGATTTTTGTCAAAATGGGCCCTGCCCATGCCCATTCCTATTTACATGAATTCGGATTTATCCCTCGTAAAGCGTGTTTCATACAAACCAACAGCATGATGCAGCAAGAGAATATCTTTCCATTTCTATGAATGACAACATACAAGTACAGAAAAAGTATTGTGAAGTTGGTGTGAAACGTGCTATAGAGAGCAAATTTGGACTACCCTTCCACACATTCATCCCGATGTGGCTGTGGTGTCTTATGGATAGGCTTGTTGAATATTGTCTTTTTTTTTTTTTTTTTGAGAACTACTTGCTCCGTATAGTGAAACAAACAACAAAGAACAGATTTCGGCTGTTTTCATTTCGTGAAAATGCCTTAATTTCGTCAAGCCTGCAGTACTATTGCATCTATCTCAAAGGAACGACCACATTTAGGTCGGCAACCCTTATCCATATGCATGCATGTGAGCATTGACAGAGCAAGCAAACTGAACTACTGAAGCAAATCTCTTCATTTCTGTTGAAAATAAGTACTTACTAGGACC